GCTACAGAGCTGCACAGGTAACCAGGTTTGTTCCACACCTGCACAGTCGGCTCCTTTTTTGGTTTTAAATTGTGATGCAAACTAACCTGAACATCCTCCCCACTTGTTCACCAGGAGCAGAAGAAGCTGCTGTTCATCAAGTTTACCAGTTTGAAAAGGTAATAATGAACATGTGCAACAACAATTCAACAACAACCTGTAAATTTGTTTTTTTGAGTGAATATAACGTTTTTTTTCTCTTTTGTTTCAGCGTCTGGGCCTAAACAGAAGTTTCAAACCAGCTGAGCTGAAGCTTCACTAGCAGAAATTACTGTTAATGAAACTTTATTTCTTTCAAAATAAGTTCTAGATGGAATATATTATAGGAATAACTGGAAGTGTAGTGTAACTACTCTTAGCTTTATGGACTCATTTGGTTCAGAAACTAAATCACAGCCAAATGACCACATTTATCTATTTAGCATGGAATAGTGTAATATTTAGATGGTTTTATTCTGTCACACAGCCTAATTTCTAAAAGTTTTCAGCGTTCTGATTCAGGGGTGTAGTTACAGCATTTGACCACAGGAGGGCAGCACGTGAGCAGAAAGTTGTAAGGTGCACTGTTAGCCATCACTTCTGGAAAATGTCTAAATGGGCACATTTGGTAAATGTTTGTTCTTGGTAAGTATTTCTCCACTCTTTAATACTCCTTGACAAGGAACAGATGAATTTGGCGTTTATATAGCTCGTTTTGCCAGTTTAAAAAGGTTGGAATAAACATGTAACGTGAAGGCTCGGAGAGGCTAGCAAGGTTAGCCGTTAGCTCAGAGAGTCGACAGACGAAGAAGTTGGGATTTTCACAAGGTATTTTAATTAACAGTAGTCTAGTATTCAACATCGACCTTATAATAACAGGTCTCCACGGAGCTACATTCATTAATCATACATGAGCAGTAAAATGTAGACTGCTCAACCGTTACGTTCTTGTTACTAAGTCTTAGGCTAAGAACAACATGGCGGACAAGATGGCGGCTGCCTGTTCACTGTACCGAAAAAAAAGGTAACACCACCTTGTGGCGGTATTCGGTATTGCAGTAACACATCTAGACTCTGGCTGTTCCAATGTGCACCAGCAACATGGATGATATCTAAATAAAATTACTGTTTTTTTTATATCTACATTTTTAATGAATATTTCCTGTGTGGAATATTA